CCAAGTCACCGAGTACTCCTCGTAGCATGTAGTTGTCGAGGCGTGCATGCAGAGTATTGCCATAGCAGTACAAGTACATAGTTGTCTAACTAGTGTGCAAAAATGTTAAACTGGACATTTAAAAAAAATGCTCAAACGTCTTCCTATAAAAGTGGACACAACGCCCAAAACATGACTTACATTTGGCTCATAACTTCATTCAAAAACACTCCATCCAGCAATTCACTGAAGTCCACATGTCGGCCTTCATCATAAGAAACAAACGTCTTTACCTGCAGAGAACCATGTGATCAGTCGCATCAGCAAAAATCAATCATCTGCAGTCACAGTGAATCACATACCCAAGTGACAAGCGGGCTCATCATGAACTGATCCAGGAAGGGAAGAAAAACACCGCTTTCCATCTTCAGAACTACATCCACTGTAAATCCTAACTTGCTTGAGGTAAAAGGCAGTCTTATTTTTTTTGGGGGGGTAAACTTGTAAACAAGGCCTGCCTTGGAGTGATGTTCTCCTCGTTCTTTCACCCTTCTTCTGAGGCGTCATGCATCATCTGTTATCTTCAGCAAACGAGTCACCAAACAACACACGACAAGCATCCTCCACTGATCCAAATGTTGCAAAGGCGTGTGGAGCCAGATGCTCCCCCCCGCCCCCCAACCCCGCTCCCCCTCCCTACTGCTCATTCACAAAGACTAGTGATAATTCCTGAAGGTCTGCACAGTTTAGCACCATCAACAGCAAAACGATGAACAACGTAATCTGGGATATATTTTCCCATAAACCTTTTACCATGACGACTCAAACAACCCACTCCCTGTACTGTAGCCTGCATTAGCGAATTAAAAAGTAGAAAGTACGATTCATCTTCACGGCCATCGCTATTTAGACATTTTTGTGTTAAAGGTTTTCATGCACACTTGTCCAGTTCCACTGATAACTTTGTGTGCGATTCTTTGCATTGTTTGAATTTGTTAAATTTGATCTAAAAACGTCAGTAACGTCGAATAAGTGATTTGATTTGGTAAGCGACTGAATACAAGTCAAGACCGGACCACCTGTAGTGGCCCAATACTGCCACCAGGTGTTGACGTCTGGAAACTCCATGTTAAATCGTACAAATCACCCCCGCTGCATAACTCAACAGTCAACGATTAAAAAAAAAAAGTGTTGTCGTTTAATATTCATACATATTTATTTATCATTTTAATTAAAAGCATGTTATCATTTTTCTTACACTTAAAAAAAATTAAATGATTTTTAAAAAGTGTGTTATCCTTTGACAGTCAATTTTGTGTGGGTTATCTTTGAAGCTTGGATGTTTTCATAACGTTTTGATGCATGTCATGTTTAATTTTATTCATAAAATGTGCAGCCGCCTAACCCTCGAAAAAAGGGTCTATGACTGCAGCAGCCTGAGAATATAGTATTTTCAATTTGCACCCATGACAAGAAATTTAGGGCACATGGCAGCACAGTATACTCGTGGTGAGCACATCTGCCTCACAGTTCCAAAGTTCTGGATTCGAGTCTTGCCCCCAGTTTTTCCGTGTGGCGTTTGCAAGATAAAGATAAAGTATACAGCATATTGCTACTTTTAGTAGGATAGAAGTTGAACATGGGTTGCTTAATGGATTAAATATACATTATATAATAACATACTTCATGCAGCATTATAATGACCAACCAATATAATCACCTTAAGATGCAGTCAGCTAATGTATGCCGTTCTAGATGTAGCTTAATTCATTTGGGTACTGGAAAATCTAATTACTGCATAAGCCGTTCATCATAGTAGTGCAGAGTGCAGCATGTTCACATTAAATACAAGATTAAATAAAAGTTACAGAAAAATAGTCGGTATATTGAAATATAGGTTCAGGTTCATTCCACTTGTCCTCCTACGTCTCCACTTGGTGCAAGTGTTTGTATTTGTTGTATCGATCTTTGTTTCCCAAGAGATTTTTAGAATAAGGTGAAGTCCAGTCTCTTTCAAAAGCAGCTTTCACTTGTTCCATGATCTTCCCTCCACCATTTTTCATCTGGACCACCAGCCCAACGCCTCCATTATTGGAAAATTCATCTCCCACCCAGTTATGGGTCCCTAAGAGGGTAAAGCCGAAAATGAGATCATGACAATCATTTTCATTTGTGTCTGTACAAATCTTCACAGAATACATTCATTGTAAACTCAAAGAACTGTAGCGGAATCTTTTGTAAGCAAATGAGTTGTTTGGCTTTTGAGGGGCACTGATGCATTGGGCTCAAAACTAAGTCTTAATTTTTAGAGCAGATAAAAAGATTATTTTTAGGTTTTCGAGTTAACAATTTCTTATCATTGCCCAAAAGTGTGCAGGGATACAAAATTGAGCATACAAAACGTAAGGATGAAATTATTCTCGAAAAGGATAGACTGTAAATGTAATACATGCAAAATGCATTGCTTACCAATATAAAGAGCGTTTTCAGTCAGCATGTACTTGTTATGATTGAGTCCATGTTGAATGTCATCCTTTTGCGGCTTGTGACTGAAAAATCTCTGAAAGATTATTGAATTAACAGCAATCAAGTTTCTAAAAAAAAGAAATCCTTAATTCTGCAGTGAGAGAGAAGTCGGTCCACGTACCACCTCTAGAGAGCAGTTGTACGGCTGCATGCACAGCGACTTGAGGGAGGTTACGAAGTTAAAGGTGAGCGGGTGAGTGTTCTTCCAGAAGCTTATGAGCAGGCGAACTTTGATCCCTCTCAGAACCACAGCCTCTCTGATCATCTCATCAAGGGGTGACCAGTACCTAATGATGAAGCCATTTTAATGAAATCATTCCCCCTCTACTCGGACAAGGCAAGTTCATCTTCATTGCATTTGTTTACACAAGTGAGTCAACGTCTACTCATAACGTCAGATACAGGCATGAAAGATAGAATGCCACATGAAGCATATGTTTTCATATCAATGCTCAGTACCTTGTGACCGAGGCTCCTCTGAGGCGCCTGCTGACCAGGGGGAGGTAGTCCATCACAGAAATGAAGATGAATGTCTTTGCACTCTGCATGACGTGATTGATGGCGTCTACATCTCTGGTGCGCTCTTTAGCACAGAAGAGATCAGGGGAGGTCTGCAAGAGAAGACACACCAGTAAGGTGACAATGCATTTGCTATACCTGTACACAAATCACAAGTCAAGCAACTGCATAAGCTAAAATGGCAACGAGAACTTCTGTTACAAGAGAATTGAAAACATAAAACAGTGGTTGCTCGCTATTTTAGCTTTTTTTCCTTCCATAACTGTAAGCGAGTTCACAACAGCAGGTTAGAGCTTGCAAGGGCAAATAACATGATTCATCACTCCCTGGTTGTGTCTGTTGCAAACTGATAATAATTTCATAAGATGTTATCTAGACTATAGTCCGGATGTTAGTTCATTAAATGACCGAACATAATAAAGCTAGCATGTTTAGAATCGTGGCTGTTGAAGTCGTACACTGTGTCATAACTGTATCTCTTTTTTTGGTTTCTCTTGTTTAATTCCATGAGGGAGGAAAAAGTATGATGCATTGCAGTTCATACCATATGCAGAATAGGTGGATGGATACGAGTTAAAAATTTAAGTTGTTGAGCCACTCACCACTAAAGCACAAGCTAATATTTTAACGGGTGATGCACAGTCAGTTTTGACAATCTTTAGATTACCGTATTTTTCACACTATAAGACACACCTAAAAGCATTCAATTTCCTCGAAAGCCGACAATGCGCCTTATAATCCTGATATGTAGATCAATATTCTGATTTCTTGGACGTAGTATTTTAAATGTTCTGTAAAGGTAATTCGTTACATTTCCCCCCCAAAAGATGACAGTTTGTTACCATAGGCTAGGAGTATGTAAACTCTGGCTAAAAGTCACCTGTGGCGCGCTGCTCGTTTATAGCCTGCAGCATATAGTATTAAAATGTACATTCGTGCTGTTTGCCTGCTTTGAACTGATTATTTTCGACACTGGGTGACAAGTCAGGAGAAATGAAGATGAAAACCAGTTCGAATGAATCGCGATGGCTTGTTCCACTCTGTGTCAGTGTCAGCTGAGTAGTTTACAGATTGCTCTTACCTTGAATCTAAATGCGGAGAGCCATCCACAATGCATACTTGCAAAGTATTTGACCTACAAAGATGGATTGGTTTTAGCCTGTTCAATAAATTAAAGGGGAAGAATTTCAGAAGCCTTTGCATCATTCTATTTTTCTTTGTGCGGGTCATAGAAAAAAAATGTTTGGACAAGCCTGATTTTGGCAAATGCAAAGTGCAGCGGTGACTCAGACTGTTGGTATCATATTCACTGTCCTTTGGTTTGTTTCAGTAAGAGTTTTGCAAACATGACCCAATAAATTTGAAACACTTGCCGGGTGGCACATATTTGGACTGAACTATTAAATTTTTGTGGTAGCAAATAAGAACAGAAACAATAATATATTTAATAATCCCTCATTAAAAAAAAAAAAATTATTCCACTTGAATTGTGAACAGTTGGCGGAGTGACCAACAAGTCGCAGCAAACGAAGCTGATTCGAGCAAGCAACAGTCACAATTTAACAATCAAATAGTCAGACGGACAAGGTTTTGAATCATTTGACTGTTGTTTGAATACATTAAGAAATGACAAAGCAACCACCCCCCCCAAAAACACAAAACGAAAAAACAAGAATGTTACTGCAAATTTGACACTCTCAGCACTCGCACAATAAAATGCTGTTGTCATCACACCGTTGAGTCTTCCTGTCTCCACCCATTTTTTTTATCGCCCCATTTCTGTGTCACCCCCTTGCTCCTCCCTCCCATCTGTGTCCAAATGACACGAAACACCAGCAGCCCAGTTTTAATCCCAGAGGGTCTCCCAATCCAAGAGATTATCCTGCCTCAACCCCCTCCACTCCTTCCAGTCGCACGTTGTTCTCATGCTGAACTGGTTATTGTGACCCTGGTTGATCAAATGAATAAATGGACACTGAATCTTAATGGTGGACAAATGGAAGCCTTCCATGACTGTACGGGGTACACACTCATCAAGAGTGTGTCCATCCAGTCTGTCACTTGCGAGACAACTGCCAGCAGACCATCGGTTTTCTAAGAGGGGTGATAATTCCCTTAGAACATACGGTGCTCAAATCATAATCCTTTAACTAGCATCTTGTCAAAATCTATGATGTCTCCTGTCTTTGGGCAGGATTTTATCAACATTTGATGAGGAACAACAATAGGAATAATTCAGCACTCGGGTAGAATGACTCAGGGGCACAGAATTTTTACTTACCAGTCATGTTTTTTTCACTACTGCCTTCCACTAAAACATTACGGCACACATTACTGCACACAATAGGACGACGCTGGCATATGAGTAGTATGACAGCTACGTTACATACCGGTAGTGAGGCAAAAACTGTGCACTAGTTGATATCTGTGCGCTACTAGTACTGCTAGTGAAGCCATGGACAATAATTAGTTGAATTTTATGATGTCACAAGTAGGACTGTCATTATTGAATTGATTATTCTATTTATCATTCCACTGATTAATTGAATAATTAGCATGAAGAATCTTGTGCATCATCATTTTTTTTTCCCAAATGCTGTTTATTAACCGTTTTTTGTTGTTCATGTGGTGGTGTTTCAGGATGAAACCAAACCAAATAGACACCATTTAAGCAATATTCCACAAGAGGGAGCGATGTTGAACTCACTCAACATTTTTTGAAACTGAGAGCTACTAGTTGGGAACGATGAATGCAAAGCGTTAACTCGTTAGATATACACTTCGAGGCTACTTAAGTAATGTAAATTCCACGTTAGTAATACTCCAAATAAAGATTGCTGTTTTGTATTGGATTTAACTATTATTTTGTCCAAATTGATTAAGATTCTGTCATGTTTCTGTTTGTTTGTTTGTTTGTGGTTTTTTTTTTTCATTTTACGGCTGGGATGGTGGGCGTTTCCCTCCAGCACCACACCTGCTGTGCGTTACCATCAGTGGACTCTATAAGGACTGCTACGGTGACAATTTGCCGTCGGATTATTCACCTTGTTCTTATGTTATTATTATGAAAACCTGACGTGCAAGAGGAAAAAAACGAGGGCAGATTTGGAATCAGTGCAAAAAAAAAAAATCATCTACAAGTGTAGATGAGTTTACTTAGATCTTTGCTTTTAAAAAAAAAATAGTAAAAATTGTTGACCTGAGTAATCATTCTGCTTTCATGAAGGCCAACAGAAATCAAAATATTTTTTTTAATATTAAAGTATTTTGATAATTTGAAATTAAACAGTAGGTCTGAATTATTAATCAATTCTCAAAACAGTTGTCAATTAATTTGATGATCGATGAATTGATTGAATTTGACACCCCAAGTCACCGAGTACTCCTCGTAGCATGTAGTTGTCGAGGCGTGCATGCAGAGTATTGCCATAGCAGTACAAGTACATAGTTGTCTAACTAGTGTGCAAAAATGTTAAACTGGACATTTAAAAAAAATGCTCAAACGTCTTCCTATAAAAGTGGACACAACGCCCAAAACATGACTTACATTTGGCTCATAACTTCATTCAAAAACACTCCATCCAGCAATTCACTGAAGTCCACATGTCGTTTTTTTCCCCCCAACCCCGCTCCCCCTCCCTACTGCTCATTCACAAAGACTAGTGATAATTCCTGAAGGTCTGCACAGTTTAGCACCATCAACAGCAAAACGATGAACAACGTAATCTGGGATATATTTTCCCATAAACCTTTTACCATGACGACTCAAACAACCCACTCCCTGTACTGTAGCCTGCATTAGCGAATTAAAAAGTAGAAAGTACGATTCATCTTCACGGCCATCGCTATTTAGACATTTTTGTGTTAAAGGTTTTCATGCACACTTGTCCAGTTCCACTGATAACTTTGTGTGCGATTCTTTGCATTGTTTGAATTTGTTAAATTTGATCTAAAAACGTCAGTAACGTCGAATAAGTGATTTGATTTGGTAAGCGACTGAATACAAGTCAAGACCGGACCACCTGTAGTGGCCCAATACTGCCACCAAGTGTTGACGTCTGGAAACTCCATGTTAAATCGTACAAATCACCCCCGCTGCATAACTCAACAGTCAACGATTAAAAAAAAAAAAGTGTTGTCGTTTAATATTCATACATATTTATTTATCATTTTAATTAAAAGCATGTTATCATTTTTCTTACACTTAAAAAAAATTAAATGATTTTTAAAAAGTGTGTTATCCTTTGACAGTCAATTTTGTGTGGGTTATCTTTGAAGCTTGGATGTTTTCATAACGTTTTGATGCATGTCATGTTTAATTTTATTCATAAAAAAAAAAAGTGTTGTCGTTTAATATTCATACATATTTATTTATCATTTTAATTAAAAGCATGTTATCATTTTTCTTACACTTAAAAAAAATTAAATGATTTTTAAAAAGTGTGTTATCCTTTGACAGTCAATTTTGTGTGGGTTATCTTTGAAGCTTGGATGTTTTCATAACGTTTTGATGCATGTCATGTTTAATTTTATTCATAAAATGTGCAGCCGCCTAACCCTCGAAAAAAGGGTCTATGACTGCAGCAGCCTGAGAATATAGTATTTTCAATTTGCACCCATGACAAGAAATTTAGGGCACATGGCAGCACAGTATACTCGTGGTGAGCACATCTGCCTCACAGTTCCAAAGTTCTGGATTCGAGTCTTGCCCCCAGTTTTTCCGTGTGGCGTTTGCAAGATAAAGATAAAGTATACAGCATATTGCTACTTTTAGTAGGATAGAAGTTGAACATGGGTTGCTTAATGGATTAAATATACATTATATAATAACATACTTCATGCAGCATTATAATGACCAACCAATATAATCACCTTAAGATGCAGTCAGCTAATGTATGCCGTTCTAGATGTAGCTTAATTCATTTGGGTACTGGAAAATCTAATTACTGCATAAGCCGTTCATCATAGTAGTGCAGAGTGCAGCATGTTCACATTAAATACAAGATTAAATAAAAGTTACAGAAAAATAGTCGGTATATTGAAATATAGGTTCAGGTTCATTCCACTTGTCCTCCTACGTCTCCACTTGGTGCAAGTGTTTGTATTTGTTGTATCGATCTTTGTTTCCCAAGAGATTTTTAGAATAAGGTGAAGTCCAGTCTCTTTCAAAAGCAGCTTTCACTTGTTCCATGATCTTCCCTCCACCATTTTTCATCTGGACCACCAGCCCAACGCCTCCATTATTGGAAAATTCATCTCCCACCCAGTTATGGGTCCCTAAGAGGGTAAAGCCGAAAATGAGATCATGACAATCATTTTCATTTGTGTCTGTACAAATCTTCACAGAATACATTCATTGTAAACTCAAAGAACTGTAGCGGAATCTTTTGTAAGCAAATGAGTTGTTTGGCTTTTGAGGGGCACTGATGCATTGGGCTCAAAACTAAGTCTTAATTTTTAGAGCAGATAAAAAGATTATTTTTAGGTTTTCGAGTTAACAATTTCTTATCATTGCCCAAAAGTGTGCAGGGATACAAAATTGAGCATACAAAACGTAAGGATGAAATTATTCTCGAAAAGGATAGACTGTAAATGTAATACATGCAAAATGCATTGCTTACCAATATAAAGAGCGTTTTCAGTCAGCATGTACTTGTTATGATTGAGTCCATGTTGAATGTCATCCTTTTGCGGCTTGTGACTGAAAAATCTCTGAAAGATTATTGAATTAACAGCAATCAAGTTTCTAAAAAAAAGAAATCCTTAATTCTGCAGTGAGAGAGAAGTCGGTCCACGTACCACCTCTAGAGAGCAGTTGTACGGCTGCATGCACAGCGACTTGAGGGAGGTTACGAAGTTAAAGGTGAGCGGGTGAGTGTTCTTCCAGAAGCTTATGAGCAGGCGAACTTTGATCCCTCTCAGAACCACAGCCTCTCTGATCATCTCATCAAGGGGTGACCAGTACCTAATGATGAAGCCATTTTAATGAAATCATTCCCCCTCTACTCGGACAAGGCAAGTTCATCTTCATTGCATTTGTTTACACAAGTGAGTCAACGTCTACTCATAACGTCAGATACAGGCATGAAAGATAGAATGCCACATGAAGCATATGTTTTCATATCAATGCTCAGTACCTTGTGACCGAGGCTCCTCTGAGGCGCCTGCTGACCAGGGGGAGGTAGTCCATCACAGAAATGAAGATGAATGTCTTTGCACTCTGCATGACGTGATTGATGGCGTCTACATCTCTGGTGCGCTCTTTAGCACAGAAGAGATCAGGGGAGGTCTGCAAGAGAAGACACACCAGTAAGGTGACAATGCATTTGCTATACCTGTACACAAATCACAAGTCAAGCAACTGCATAAGCTAAAATGGCAACGAGAACTTCTGTTACAAGAGAATTGAAAACATAAAACAGTGGTTGCTCGCTATTTTAGCTTTTTTTCCTTCCATAACTGTAAGCGAGTTCACAACAGCAGGTTAGAGCTTGCAAGGGCAAATAACATGATTCATCACTCCCTGGTTGTGTCTGTTGCAAACTGATAATAATTTCATAAGATGTTATCTAGACTATAGTCCGGATGTTAGTTCATTAAATGACCGAACATAATAAAGCTAGCATGTTTAGAATCGTGGCTGTTGAAGTCGTACACTGTGTCATAACTGTATCTCTTTTTTTGGTTTCTCTTGTTTAATTCCATGAGGGAGGAAAAAGTATGATGCATTGCAGTTCATACCATATGCAGAATAGGTGGATGGATACGAGTTAAAAATTTAAGTTGTTGAGCCACTCACCACTAAAGCACAAGCTAATATTTTAACGGGTGATGCACAGTCAGTTTTGACAATCTTTAGATTACCGTATTTTCCACACTGTAAGACACACCTAAAAGCATTCAATTTCCTCGAAAGCCGACAATGCGCCTTATAATCCTGATATGTAGATCAATATTCTGATTTCTTGGACGTAGTATTTTAAATGTTCTGTAAAGCGCTTTGTTACAGCTGCAGTGGCTGTGAAAGCTCTATACAAATATAGCTATATTGTAGTATTATACTGTATTGTATTGTATTCCCTTTAGCGTAGTTCCAACTACTGGATGCATAACACAACCGCAGCCACGATTGTAGCGTCTATTCTATGCGCCTTATAATGCCATGCATCCTATATATGAAAACAGTTTTAAAATAGGCCATTCATTGAAGGTGCACCTTATACTCCGAAGCACCTTATAGTGCAGAAAATACGCTACCGGTACATAAACAAACTGCATTAAACATGTTAAAATGATGTACTCAGTATCTTTGCCATATTTCTTTAAAATGTGTAACATCAATTTCTTGCACTTAAATTAAAAAAATGGAAACAGGCACATAGTGTTGCTGTTGCTGCCTGAGCTCATTGCGCGTAGGGAAACCCTTGTGTGTTCTACATACTTGGCCATCTGATTCTGAGATGCAGTTTAATAAGAAACTTGCAGGAGACAGTCCCAATACAACCCAATTGCTGCTTTCCAAGAATGGTCTGCCCAAAGTACTTCTCCTACAGCGAGGTAATAGACTGTACAGCCATATGAACAGGCATTTATTATCTGCCTTATGCAACTGCTGCCCTGCAACCACAGACTTATTGCTTTGTCCAGCAGCAAAGCTTTAATACAATATCAGAGAGAGAGAGAGAGAGAGAGAGAGAGAGAAAACAGTCTATTTTCTCATCCTCACAAAAAAGAGGCTATAGTTAACACAGAATACATTTTATAAGTGCAAGGAAATATATGGCAGATCCCCAAATTGCTGCTATTCTCTATTTTGCAATAGTTTACATAATTTATGTTCGGGTGAAATTATTTTCATAACAGGCTCAAATAATCTTCTTCATGACACCCTCAAAATACATCAGTTTACTCTATGATTTTAGTGCATTAGCATACATCACTCCATTCGCTGTCTGGCTTATCCTCACTTGGGTCGCAAGCTGAGTTTGAGCAAAATGTAGGGTCAAAAGCCCCTGATCCTGTACGGTGGATGTGCCACAAGGTGACCATGCTGCCTTATTGTGCATTACCTTTTCTTCAAATTCCAACAAAAATGATCAATGACAGCAGTGCAGATGTGTCGTACTGATATGAAAACAACATTTCCCACAAGGTCCTACAGGGAGACTTGGCTCATGAATAAGGGGATTCAAATATAAGTACCACTTCTACATCAATGTGCATAAAGAAATGCCCGTCTAGTTGTCACTCAAATAATGTTACGCATTTGAAAAATTAAATTGCAATTTAAAAGGCTGTGCCATTTCTTATGACTTGTGTACAAATAAACAAACAAACAAACAATAAATACTAGATAGCCTTACAGACACATATGCAACTGCGGGGGTATTGTTGAGCTCCAGCTCCAGGGCCTGGTGTCTGCCATAGAGTGCTGTAACTCTCCTGGACCAGATTGAGGGGATGTAGTCCCTGTCATGGAGCTGCCAGTAAAAAGAAAATACTCTGTGGAGGTCCAGAGCCAGACAACTGCAGTTATACACCATCAGGCCCAGCTCCTTTCTCTGTGAGGTGTCACAAAAAGCAAAAAAAACAAACAAACAAAAAAAAAAACCACTGGTGATATATAGCTAAGAAGATGAGCCGAGAGAGCATGTAGATCATAGGTGTCAAACTCAAGGCCCAGGGGCCAGATCTGGCCCGCCACATCATTTTATGTGGCCCGCGCAAGAAAATCAAAGTTGTCAACTTTCATGATGCTTGCTAAAATCTCAGCCAACGTTTCAAATTCTCATTTGTAATAAATAAAACTGATACTGTAAGCATTTTCTTGTTACCAAACCACTCATTACAGTAACTTAAAAAATAGGTGAATAAAAATTATTCTTGACTTCTTTATATGGTTTCAGTCGTAACGGCCCTCCAAGGGAAATTGTAACTAAAATCTGGTCAATGACAAAAATGAGTTTGACACCCCTGATATAGATGGACAGGATGACAACAAAACCTAATAGTGTATTAATTTGAGGTCAAGAACTGAGCAAAACCCATGAACTGATCTAAATATACTCTTCAGACCAAACGTGCATTCCTTTCATCACCATGCTTGGTGAATTCATTAGTTTTTGCTTTATTTCCCTCCATTCTTTGAATGGCCTAGCTAACATGTCTCCAATGTCTGGAGTCTAAGTACACTGTGTACGCGAGTTTAAGAAGCAGGATTATTCCTTCCATCACATTCTCATCATGAAATGCGGCAGTTTGATCCAAAATAGAAGTACTTCCTGAAATGACAGTTTACCGACTCAGATTACATGCTCTCTTCCTTCATTTGTGCTTCTTCTTCTTCAGTCTTTGGTTCGAAGATGCTAATAGCGCCTCTCATAAGAGAGTTGGCAACCCTTGATTTTTGTATAACAAACGCAAAATGTTGATGCTACCTTGGAGAAGGACCTCCAGTCCATGTCAGCACTGCCAACGTAAAAGTGTGTCCGATCTACGATCCAGAATGAGGAATGGAGTCCTCCACGGGTAAAAGCTGTCATGTTAACCAAATGAATCTCTGCATCTAAACAGGAAGAGAAGGACAGGAGGGGGTGAAAAAGTTACAGGTTGGAATGAATGCCATCTTGCCAATGACTTACTGTGTGTTGCCAAAATCTTCTGTTCTGCAGAGTTTGTCAGATTGCTGACAATCTTGAGTTTGACCCCACGGGATTTCAAGTTGAGCAATCTCTGGAATAAAAGATGACCCTGAGGAAATGGTATTAGGCGTTTAGGTATTTTTTTTTTTCATCTCAGCGGGTCAAAACTCATTAAGCCGGTGACACATAATCTTCAAAATAATTAAAGTTTTCCCTTTTGGACCACTCGGGGGAAAAACAAAGGATACGATGACTTCATACCTGTCGTCCTGTGCTCGGCACAGGTTCTTTTTCCGAGGCCCTCAAGTTCCAAACCGGTGACACTACCTGGATTGAATGCTTAGCTTGGTCCAGGAGGGTATGGAAGCCAACAAATAGCGGCAAATTCGGTCTGGCATTCAGGTGTTGTTGAAGATCCTCGGGGATTGTCTCCATCAGGACAATGCTGCAATATGGCCGCATGAACAAATCACCTTTCTTCTTGTCTTCTCATGTGACGCTTTCTAAACTGCGTGTGTTGTTTATCTCACCGACAGTCAGTGCGACAATTCTCCTCTGTGATGCCATCCTCGCCGTCCCCCCAAATATCCACGGAGGAGAAGATAAGCACCAATAGAACAGCAAAGCAGCATAGCAGTGCAAAGATGGCAATGCACTTCTGCTGAGTCTGACAAGTCAGAGACACACAAACGGCGCAACTTAGAGTAGAAAACACATCATCGTCTTCGAGGGAGAAGACGGTTATGCTAAGACAACAACATGGCACTTCATTTTAGGAAAGTAACGAACCCATAAATGTTAATTTCCTCAACCAATACATGGAGTAGGTTTTGGGATCGATAAACAACCCGCGTGTATGTTTGTTGTATTGGTCAGGCAATACTGCAGCTTTGAAAAACATTGAACACCCACAGATGTAAGGAGAAGTTTTGGCTACAAATAATTGACTTGTCTGTACACTGCCAGCTTTGTTGTTCAAGCATGTCCCTCTTGAAAGAGACTTTATGAGCGCCGTATCATGCTCCAGGCCAATGTTGTGGAAAATTAAAGGTAATGTTTGTGTACATGAGTGTACAGTATATTGTGGCTGTATCAAAGGTGTGGGGGAGTCGGAGTGGTGAATGATAGCCAAATTGTTGTGATGCTTTCTCCTCCCAAGCCTTGATTTAGCCGTTTTAAAAGTGCAAGTGACGTGCTTTTGGTTTTGCTTACCGCTGCACACTTTCATCATTGCATTCAGTCAGAAAATAACAATGATGTAGAAACATAATACAACTTTAGAAAATGTCTTTCGATTATGTGGGCTTTCCCAATGTGGCCAATTAGAGCATATTGTTTTTTGGGGGGCTATGTTTGCTCGATTCTCACAACTCTTTGTACTTTTGAATATGAGATACTGTAGCTCGAAGAATGTCTGAAGAAGTTTATTCACCACCATTTCTTACAACAGTGTCAGGACAATGTTTAATTGGGCACTCTTCCCTCTCTGTCTCAGTTAATAAGGCTGCTGTGGCACATTGTGTGGTCTGTACTCTCCTTTAATCTCCAGTGAGATTTTCATTCGTCTGACCAGAGGAAAAGACTGCGTTTGACATGCAGATATGCATAAAAAATCCCATTGAAGAAAAGTTCCCCTGAGCCCTGGTATGTTGGAAAGGTTATTTTTGTGCTGAATCATCTCCGACCCAGGCACCGAAAAGAAATTGAATATGGAAATAAATGTGAGTTGCTGAATGGATGACACATAGTTACATTATATTCCAAACATAGTCCAGACATTCACAGTGACACTTAAACTCCATGGCAACGATGAAGTCAAGAGTTTACGTATTAAATACATGCGTGTACGCAAGTGGCGATTGGAAGCGTCACCTTTATGGGTTCTTGTCCGGTTGGTCCTGCCATGAGTGCTGCACTCCTTCAAACTTCTGTCACATCAGTCCATCTGCTTCATCAGTTCGTTTGGGTCTCTCAGTTAGCTCTGCTCCATTTTCATACTTTCACACTTCCTCATGCATATGTTGCACTGACGTCCTGAGGCGATGTCTGTGTGTGTGTGTGCACCTCACGTCCTGATCTTATTTGCAGCTTGAAGTGTGTGTGTGTGTGTGTGTGTGTGTGTGTGTGTGTGTGAGCAGTACAGAATGAGCAAGTATGCAGCTCCATGCTGACTCAACTGTGAGAGAGATGGAGACAGAGCAAACCACCAATACAAAGCTGCTATTGAGAATCTCAACAGCTGATTCCTTCCTCCATGCCTCCCTTTTTAATCTTGTTCCTACACCATGATACAACCTAAATTGGCGTACACCTGTCAGGAAGGCTGCAGAAACCACGGCCGGCTTTACGCGGGTGCAAGAAGGGGTCATGCCCCCTCAAATCAAATCTGCACGAGAAACCTCAACTGTCTTTCTCCTCCACTCTGTGCTGTGTGCTGACTGACTGACTGACTGACCTTCCCGCCAGTAAACACCCAATCAGGATTTACGCTATGCAAATGAGGCTACCAATTGCTAGATTCCTCTCCCTCGCTGAGACAGGCTTAAATGAAACTGTACAACTTGGAGGAAGCAACGCAGCAGGATTAAATAATGCATACTAGTGATTTCTGTCATGCAGCCACACTTGTACAGGATGAGAATGCCCGTTGCAAGACAGACAGAATGAGAGCAAATGACCTGTTGTGCCTAACTGCTGCCAGTTCTGCATCACACACACACACACACACACACACACACACACACACACACACACACACACACACCCACACACACACACACACACAAAC